TGCTCCAGGACTTTTGGAGGGGGGTGGAAGCTGGGGAAGCTGGGGCATGCCGGTCAACGAAGCTAAGCGACCAGCGAAGTCACTTCCCTTACTTCTTTGTCATCCCCACGGCCCGCCGGAGCACAGAGGACGGGCTCGCAAGCAAGCTGAACTTCCGGGCTTTGTGCCGCCTCGTTGGTGCTTTCCTGGGCGAGGGCAGTGAGGCCGTGCGCTAGTGTGGCGGCAGTCAACTCAAACATCAGAACAGTGGAGGTTATTCTGCGCTTTGCCTTGGCCTTGCTCCAGCAGTCGGAGGATGGAATCCTAGCCTGCACCTCGGGAGACCAGGCGCGGAAGCTCCCGTGGTCTTTGGGTGGTGCAACCTCTGCGATGTGGAATTGCTTCCAAAAAGGAATCTCCTAACGGTCCTAACGAAACCGATGTATGAGGATGTAGAGACGTGTAAGTGCAAGAATTTATCAGTATCATGCCGCAGGCTCTCTACAGATTCTGTACGCAGTGTGCAAATCATAGAGGCCCTCAGAAGGAGGGGGGGGAGTCCAGGCCCGGAAATGAGTCAATGACAACGAGGTTCCAAAGGTCAAGGGGAACAATCTGTTAATTTATGGTCAGGTTTGTAAGTGAAGACTTGGTGGCAGTCTTGCTACGTGCCTCTGAGGTGTTCGTATGTACCCGATGCCATCATTAATTCCGACAGGTCTGGCAGTTCCTGGAGACATCCAGCGAGCGGCAGCAGGGGAGTCCGGAGGAGGTAGACACCCTCACCAAGGCGCCTCCCGCCGGAGTGCAGTACACGAGAATTTTGCAGCACGAAGAAGATACCACAAGCCCACATTGGCCCACATGCGCCTTGCAGGCGGCATTCTCCCTGCCTTTGCGGAACCTGTCCATGGCACGGGTCGGGTGCAGAGTGAAAAGGACCACGCCGAAACTGAAGCAATGACTGGCAAATCTTGGCAATCATGAAGTGCAAACCAAGGCACACCTTTTACTTAAGACAACTCTCAAGGTGAGCAGCTCTTGGAAGATCTCCTACGCTGCTCCAAAGCAGGCACATGGGCCGTGGGGATCGTCTTCCTGGCGTTGCACATGACATCATGCAGTTGCCACTTAAGTGTTGGTCTCATTAGGGTCGCAAGCTCAAAGGGTTGGAGGCAGCCAAGCCCCCAACATCCCCAACTGGCCTGGCTTCTTGTTCGTGAACAATGCGTGCCAGGCTTTTGCCGATCTGCGGCATTGTCTTGGAAGAAGGGCTTGTAAAATGCAGAGGTTTCAGCTCACGCAGTATTGGCAAGGCCAACCTTTTCTTGTGGAGTTTTTCCACACTCTTGGCTTTGGTAATCGAAAGCGGCAACACAAGCTGATACAAATTTTAGCCTGTTTAATTGCTTGTGTCAGAAAATCTGGCAAATGCCATGAACGTCTAATGCCACCTGAAACCACGTCACGTTGCCCGAGTGTAGGAGGACTGTGCTACCATGGGGCACGTTGATGTTGCCAGAGGACTACCAGAAGCACATGTTCTGCCGGCCTCGGCTCTACGAGCCTCGAGGCTCACGCCGGAGTTCAACTATCAAGTTGAGCTGTATAATCCATATATTTTTCTATATACATATATGTAATATATATATATATATAGTACACATATAGTTGCGCCCCGGCGGGCCACTGGGCACCCCCCCCATCCCCCCCTCCCCCAAAAATTAGTAATAGGGGGTTTCTGGGACTTCCGCCACAGTCGCCCATTTATACATATGCTACAATTCGCCTCATTCATTTTACAATAATTCCCGCATGACACCACCGAAGACCCCAGACAGTCGAAGGAAACTACACGTGTGAAGTGAGGTTCCTTCATACTCTTGGCTGGGGCAACAACCGACAACGCAGGAACCTAAAGGTTTGTTCCAGCCAGACATCAGAACTACGGAGTTTCACGAGCCACCGCACGCAAGCCACAGTACGCGAGCCACCGCACGCGAGCCACCGCACCTTAGTTGGCTGGGGCAACAATTGACAACGCAGGAGCCTAAAGGTTTGCTCCAGCCATTCCTAGGACAGGGGGAGTGCGGAGCTGCAGTTGGTATTTCAGGAGTTATGTTGGAAGTAGTTGGAAAGGGTCAATGAACCCGTGGATATTTGGCTCAAGATGGCCACTGACCGCGTGTGGCAAGGAAAGGGTAGTTCCGTGTTCTTGAGGGTTGGTTTGCTGGGGTTAGGTGTGTGGTGTTTAGGCAAGCCTTTCCCTAGAGCCTCCCTCTCTCTTTGTATCCTCCGCTTTTGGTTTGTGAAATTTAACGGGCAAAAGTCTAGGGTTGCCTTTGGGGGTGAGAGTGGTTTAGTCTTCTGTTATCCCCGTTTGGTTGCCCCCCGTATTCAATGCATTAGTTGCTCAACAAAGCATTATTTGCACTTTAAACGCACACTTTGCCATATTTTGGTTGAGAATGGTTGAGTATGCTCCTTTAAATAGTATTCACTTGAGTCAAATTGGGCTCTTTGCTTAATATTTACTCTAGTAGTTAAATTCGCATAGAATCAAGAAAAATGTTTCACTATTTGCAGCTGCCATCTTTTGCCATCACCTTGGATATGCATTGTACGCACACCTGCATGCGCTTGTCTCTGTCCGCAGCTATGAACACATCCAAACGAGTGATTTCGTTTCGTGTATTTACATAAAGTGCCAAAACGCAGGGGCCGGGTTCACCCCTGGAACCGATATATGATATATGATATATGATATATGATATATGATATATGATATATGATATATGATACATGATACGTGATACGTGATACGTGATACGTGATACGTGATACGTGATACGTGATACGTGATACGTGATATACATATATATATATATATATGTTTTCATTGGGCCTGTATGTGTTCTTATGGGTCATGAAGCAAGTCTTGGGTGTCTGCAGTGCAGGCTCCGTTCCGGATGAGATCTGGGAGATGATCTGGCCATGGGCAGGGGCACCCGGGGCCCGGCATATCCCGGCATGGCGCAGCCTTCAAAAAGGCGGCGTTCTCTTGATTCGGCTCTCTAGGTTCCAGCCAGCTGCCGTGTCTTTGACCCGCGGCTGATCTATACACCGGCCTGGGACTCAAAGAGGAGCAGGAGATTGCAGGAGCATGAGCAGGAAAGTGCGGTGATAGGAATTGTCAGCCAGGTTGTGGATGGCACATCGCTCCGCACTTGCTTGGAGAAGTGTAAAAAGCATGGAGCCCAACGAGAGTATATTCGAGAAGGCACAATTTGAAGCATGCGGATACCTGCTCAAGGTCCAAAGAGGCGGCAATGGTCTTCTTCGTCTACAGCTGCGCGACCAAATTAAATCGAGAGTCTGCCAGAGTCTGCCCAGTTTCGCGCAAGCTGCGTGAATTGGAATCGGAATATCATTGCCAGGCGAGTTCGGGGATATCCTGGGTGGCTTCTCACCAGTGATTTGGGTGTGAGTCTCAGAAGAGATCCCTACACTCCGCACGCTCGCAAGCCGGCATCGGGAAAACGATCTGAAGTTTCTCCGGAAGGCGCGGACGAGTGGCTACCTGGACCTGCTGACTTGCCTGCGGGCTGCCGAGGATGCCTTTGTTTTCCGGAGGCCGAGCACGCGAGTGAAGTGAGGACCAGAAAACCAGAAAACTAAGTCTAGGTGGAAGTGTGAGGGTCGTTAAGGCTGGAATCAGAAAACTAAGTCTAAGTGGAAGTGTGAGGGTCGTTAAGGCTGGAATTTGTTGGTGAGACATGTCCGAAGGCTCAAGGGCAAGAGCACAGTGGACGTGTTTCCATGGCGCAGAGCCAAGCAGTCGAAAGGAATGCTTGTGGTCGAATGTCGGATGCCCCAGCTAGCTCTGGGAAGCTGTTGAGGTCGGGTGCCAACCAGATGCTCTTGCAAGCATCTGAGGCCCGAAAAGCCGAAAACCATCCTCTCGATCTGAGGACCACCTCGACTACCCTCTTGTCTTAACCTCCATTTCCTGCCTCCCCCATCGGTCGAGTCATCCATTTCAAAGAACACACAGTATTCCTCAGTATTCCTCTTGGATCCCCGAAGAATTTGCTGGCAGCTTCATGGCCTGATCTTCGGCGGCGATGATGCGGCAGTGCACCTGAACAAGGACAGCAGCTACAACAGTTCGCGACTCTTCCACCTCTACAGCTATCATACAAGTTTCAGCTTTCGCAGCTTTGTTCGCAGTCTGTTTGAGAGGACCTGACACGAGCTACCTCTAGTGCCTCCCGATCCTTCAGCTCCCCGCCCTTGCTGGAGGCCAGGAGTTGCATCAGAAACAGCAACGCAGGGCGAGACAAGCACGAGACATGACCCTTGGCATGCCTTGGCTTCTCTAACGATTCCTTGGAGGAGAGCCGAGAAGAGTCAGAAAAAGTCTCGGGCTTACGCAGATTTTGCAGCTGCATTCCTGCGTCGTATCTGTCCTCGGGGTTGCCACCCGGGGAAACGCAGGGAGATGCAGGAATGATGTCAGCCTATCCTTCAGGGAAGGTGAGGGGAGAGGAGGGTGGCATATTATATCGCATCTTTCAACAACGTGTATGTTTGTCTTGCCCCGTCCCTTTCGCACCACTGGCCATCGTAACAATGGTTATCAAGCATCGCTTAATTAAATGTGTGGGAAGATGCGTTTAGCTCAGACAGGGAACCGCCTCGGACTGGAAGCCTATCAAATCCTATGAATCGCTGCTTCGAATTCCCCTCTTTGGCATGCCGAGGTCAGTGGGGTCAGAGACTCGTTCGAGATTTGCAGGCACGTGGGCCATAGAGGTTGAAGCCAGAGTCCAGATCCGGCTGGCCTTTGGGCAGGTTCGAGATATTCGCGCTGCTGTGAGCTGAGCCAAGAAAAAATGGACGTTTGCAAGAGAAATGCTTGAAGTTTGTCGAACGCACCGCATTGGGCACGGCATGGCCCAGCCCCCCATTCTCTAAGGCTTAAATTTGTGAGCTTTTGTCTCCTTTACTCGAGTTTCCAGGAGCTGAAGACTGTGGTGCAAAAGGAGCTGATCCTCAACACGGCCAAGGCCTGCCGCCACCCATTTTTCATGGAGTTTTGGATAGCCAAGTCGAAAGCCTGAGAGTCTCCACATGAGCCTCTGATGGAGTGCACTTGGGCGCCTAATAAGTAGTTGTAATGGAGAAGAGGCGCATGTTGTTCAAGCGGCCGTTGTCCCAGGGCCTGGTCGAGATGAGCACCGGGGCTCAGGCGCGTGCCTTCCCGGATCCCAGCAGACCAGCAGATGCCCAGCAGCCAGAGATGCCTCCAGACACCACAACGGAGGCCATGCTCACCAATCGGCGCTACGACGAGCCGGGATCAAAGAGAAGTTGTTTTGAAGACTCTCAAAGTCTTTCTCTCTTTCTCTCCCTGTCTTTGGGGGGATCTCTGTGCTTAAATCTCAGCACGGCTCTTTACTTCCCATGTCTTCTACCCCTCCAATCTACACACACGCACACCCACACACACACACACCCACACGCACACACCCACACATGCACACACATGAGAGCCACTTGCGTAAGTCTATTCGGCGGGAAGCTTTTGGTGCCAATGACTGGTGCGTTCTTTGCCGCGCAGGTTGAAGCTGATGTACCGTATCTTCAAGCGCGAGGCTGCCCATCTGGTGAGCTCTTTTGTAGCCCAAGATGACTGCAAAAACAGAGCACACAATTTCGTACTGAGACACTTCGCCAGGTCATTGACACACTGAACGTAACAGAACGTAACTGCTTCATGCGTGTGCTCGTGCGCAGAAGAATAAGCGCTTACCACTACAAGCGGCCCTAAAGAGCATCAAGCGGCTGCTCCGAGGGGCTCTGGAAGCGCATTGGAAGGGAAAACTGGGAAAACTCCGGGAACACCCTCAGAGCAAATTCTGTCAGCCGACGATGCTGCCGCACATCATCACGGCTATGGAGCCTTACATCGAGACGAGGACCCGGCCTTACAGACCTACTAGTGGGATGTGATATGAGAGAGCTTCAGTGCTTCTCACCTTCAGGGCTCGCGGAGTGGTCGAAGACCCGCAGATGATTGACAGCCCCGCTGCGTATACGGAGAAGGCCCCCAGAAACCAAAAAGCGCGAAAGTGGTTTGGTTCAGGGCTCTGCTTCGGAAACTTTGGAGGGGTCGTCTCTGCGTTGAACCTCCTCCTCCCCAGGGAATGAAGGGATGACCACGAACACGAGCTGGGGCACCGAAAGCTGCTAAGGGGGGGGCGCTCGAGCACGCAAGCTTCACTCCTGAAATTGGAGCTTTCTGCCAGGTGCTCGAACTGAAGAAGGAGGTGGACGACATGGCCCGAACCTTCGTCCAGTCACCACACTCCGACAACTGCCAAGAGTACATATGTTGTGGACTTCACATATACTGTATACTTCGCCCCTTGTGCAGCGTTGCAACCTTTAGCTCAGAGACTCAATGTTCGTCCAAAAGGTCGCCTCCTGCTTCGAGAGTGACACCGGCTTCCAGAAGGGCCGCAACCGAGGCTTGGAGGCTGTGCTGAACAAGGACACGTAGACGCATCATAAGACGTCAGACAACCACAAATGCTCGACGATCCATGAAGAAACCGCAAATAACAACACCCAGTCATTCTGCTGCCAGGACACTCGGTGTGCCAAGTATCTCGCTCTCTTCTGCGACCTGCAGCCGCGCCCTGTGTCGCTGCTGCTGTTGCGCCACCATGTCATTTAAGGCTTGAGGCCCCTTGAGGGATGTTTGAGCTTGGCCATGCAATACTTGAAAGTGCTTGCCAGGCTCAAGAAGGGCTTGAAGGGCAGAAACGAGGACGAAGTGCAGACATTGGTAAACCAAGTCGCCTTGCCCTCAGCCAGAAGGTTTGTCATAAGCTAGAGGCGACTTCATTTGCACAAAGCGTGACAGGTCTGACGTTTCATTCGACTATATTCAACCTAGCAATCATCCAGACCCGATAGTTCAGAACATGTCCAAACCTCATTCAGTGGCACAGGTCAGCCTCTTCGCACATCTCAAGGAGAGCCACCATCGGAGTGCAAAACAGAGTCAAACAAAGTTTTTCTGAAGCAGATTCTCAATAGAGTGGAGTTCGAATTTCTTCGAGGACAAAGACATCTTCCTGGACATTTACAAGGCCAGCATGATACGAAACGTTAGTGAGCGTCACGGCGCGTGTGGGTCCCACGCGCTGTCCACCCAACGGCAAAGAGCACAAGAACTAGATGTGCGGTTAATTTTGCTTTCCTCTCCATTCTGTTCTTTGTCTCAGAGCGCCTTGTCCCGGCGCCTGCTGAACAAGCTCTCCGTCTCCAACGATGCCGAGGAGACGCCTGGGACTCCGCTTTGAGGGGCTCTTTATTGGTATTAGTTATTAGCATAAGTATATATTACTACTAGTATATAGTAGTATATATATCAGTATTCTTATAGTATATTCTTATTATCAGTACTTTTCATTTGCGACGGCTTTTTTGGCCCTGGGTGTAATTATCTTGAGAAGCTTGGGGATGCTTGAAGCGAGAGAACTCAGAGCCTTCTCAGAGGACTGCTTCATCACCAAGCTGAAGGTTCGCCTTCTCCGCTCTTCTGCGAGAGTTTTCAGAAAGACGTTGCGTGAGAACAAGAGAGAAGCTTTCTTTGTGTGTGTGTGTGTGTTCTGGTGTTTCTTTCCTCTCTCGCCCTCGCTTTCAGGTGGAGTGTGGCCAGCAGTCCATTCAGAAGCTGGCCGGGGGCACCAAGTCTGGTACCATCAGCGATGTTGAAGCCATAATAGCGACATGCAACAAAGGGAAGGGAATGGAAAGAAGTGGAGGAAGAGTAAAGCGAGCAAAGTGAGTAAAGGGGTGAGCTGACAAGAAGCGAGAGGCCTCCATGTTCACCGACATGGCACTGAGTGATCAGCTTCAGGAGCTGAGCACACTCGGCTATTTGCCCTGGTCAGAAGCGTTCCTTGTAAGCCAAAGGGCGTCGAGCCTGAAGAGGAGGAGTACATGAAGAATGCGCACCATGGCTCGCCCGGCGGCGTGGTGCACGAGGAGTGTGTCGTGTCGTGTGTCACGAGCGGCACAGTTCGGCCCCTGGTTTTGTGCAGGTGCGGGTTCTGCAAACCAACGCCTGGCCCGAGAAGGTATCGAGCAAACCTAAGTGTCTCTGACATGGGCCCCGTTCCAGGGTCATTCTCATGCATTCCGACGTAGGCCGATGATGTGCCCATTATCCCATGCCCAGAGATGACCACCTGCATTACGGCCGGGAACTCGCAGCTCGGAGGAGTGGAGGGCATCGTGAGTTTTTTGTCCGTGGAGGCCTACGAGGCCTTCTACAACTCGAAGCACAACGGCCGGAAGTTGAGGCCTTGAGATTAGGCTGTGCACCGTGTGCACCGCAAACCACTGACATGAGATAATTTGGAGTAATTTGTTCTCAGGCCGAAAGCAGCCCGTCTAGGCTGAGCATTAAAGGTTGATGAAAGGAAGGCTGACATAGGACACAGACCGATGTTCAAAGGCGGGCAGCCCCGACAGGGGAGGGCGGGGGTGTGATGGTTTGCTGCGGTGGGAAGGCTTGGGAGGTCAAGACAATTATCCCGCTTTGTTTTTCTGGTTGCTGTTCGGGGGCATGAAGAATCTGACAACTAGGGCTCCCAGTGGTCTGCACTAAGAGGCTCATCGCCACTTAAAGATGCATCCGCAGTTGCATTGTAGTCCTGTACCTCGCCCTGTACCGTAATGGCTGCTGATCTTGCCTTCTGGAGTTCAACCAATGTTGCTGCACTCACACGAACCTTAGTTTGACTACTCATTCCTTAGTTGATTGCGCTTGAATTGCTAGGAACAACTCCACCATGGGTGTGCTCTTGACACGGCAGGTTACTTTGTTTTTCCGAGGCACCATCATCAGCAGCGCAGCCAAGCACCCTTGTTTCTGTTTGTCATCTGACTGCGCTGCAGAGTTGTAGGCTGAGCACATGCATTCGTTTTCGTTCCGTTCACAGTCCTTTGTGTTTCAAACATATGGGCCCCGGAAATGCCGTGATAGACCAAGATAGCACGATTTATAGCAGTAAAATCGCCAATGACTGCAACCGATTGTTGGGTCATGTCATCATGGCCGTATCTGCACCGGAGGTGGATCTACAACATGGGCAGTGTGGAGAGAGCCTCAGAGATTCTGAAACTGTGACCTGTTATCACAAGTTCAAGCAAGTAGACAAGTTGTTTGTCTACATCGTTGTGCCTCATCCGCGCCGCTTCCGCAAGGAGCTAAAATGCCATGGCATGGCGCGGCCCCACCTTCTGGCCAAACCCCAAGGAAGCAAGACATGTCCCGCTGTCGAAGTTCAAGCACGGGAATGTGGTGATGTTGCGTATGACGAATTGCGTATGACCACCGCACTGGTACTTCTGAGAGTGGCGTTTGTGTAGAGGATACCTTGCCCAACACCCCAGCCTGGGACGCAACTCCCGAGATCCCAACCGAAAATGCAATACAGGGCGGCCATGTCCTGCAAATAGAAGGAGAACCAGCAGCAGTGGTAGTTTTAACGCTACGCGACCCGCCTCGGCCCGGCCCAGCGCATCCGCGTGAGCATGGTGATTCCGCAGCGCCCAAGTCGCTGGACCCCAAGCAATAAGGGTTGGGTTGAGGGTTGAGGGTTCCGGGTTTATGGTTTATGGTTTGGGGTTTGGGGTTGAGGGTTAGTTTAGGGCTCAAGGTTCACGCTTTGGGGTTGAGGGTTTTTTTGGGTTTAGGGTTCGACTTGAGTGATCGTAGGGTTGAGCCAGGCCCCTTAAGGTTTAAGGCGACTCTTCGGCAGGGTGGGGGGGAGGGGGGAGGTGGGGTGGGGGGAGGGGGGAGGTGGGGTTGGGGGGTGGGGTGGGGGGTGGGGGGGGGGGGTGGGGGGGGGGGGGGGGGGCAGGTGGGGGGGGGGGGCGGGTGGGGGGGGGGGGGGGGGGGGGGGGTGGGGGGGGGGGGTGGGGGGGGGGGGTGGGGGGGGGGGGGCTGGGGGGGGGGGGGGGGGATTTGAAGGGGGGTGTTCTGACAACCTAAACACCTCCGGCCCGAGGCCTCGGCGGATTTGGCCCCAAAAGGGTCCATTGAAGCTGTTGCGCAGTTGGATTTCTGCCGAGGATGACCGGTTCACTTTCTAGGCTTGACATCTCTGAAAGAAGTATCTGCACTTCATTATGTGGCGCGGGAATTATTTAGGGCATCTACCTCGAGGAAATGAGAGTGCGTCAAGCAAGCGACTGCGTTGAAGACTGTAGCATGGATTACGAAGATAGCACCTCAGTTCTGTTTCTGTTGAAGTTCGATGGGGATAGGTGGGGGCGTTCGTATGCAACGGTAAGTCGTTAGTTGCGTGACAGACAGGTTGTGCTGAAGGTCTGGAGCCATGGGAGATCGGAAAAAGAAGACCACCGATTGCATCGATCCCACCGCGATTTCATGGTGGGCGCAGGTGAGGGGCGCCCAGCCAATGAAATCCCCGAGCCGAAACATGTTTTGAATTTCTAGAAGCTGCTGAAGAATGACAATGCACGTATTATGTTTAAACATTAACATCATCAAAACAAGTTAACCAGCCGTGCACGCACAAAACTTGATGTGGCTACAACGTCAAAACCCTTCAGGGCCCTCCCTTCCCTCGTCCCCCCGCTTGTCAGAGCCGCGTGGCTTCATCCTAAACCCTGAACCCTAAATCCAAAACACGAAAACCATGTGAAGAGTGGTTCGGTGCATGTCACAAGCGAGACTATCTGATGCGTTTCTTGGTGCCCAGAAAGGGAGCAACGTTTGGCTGAGACAGCGATAATGCTTTTGTGAAAACTCAATATCCGGTCACGCTTTGCCCCGTTCTTGTTTCCTCAAAACACCTTTGTTGCGCAATGTTCCGTTCTGGTTGCTGCGTTCCCCTTGTGGTTGCAATACGCTGTAGATGTGAGAGAATGGGGGGGGGGGGGGGGGTAAGGAAGAGCGTGCCATAATGAGAGTGGTATGTGAAGGGCCTTCGGCGCTTGGCAGGTATTGATTGCCTACAGGGCTTGGTGATAAACTGGCCTTGTGGTTGATGGGCTTAGTTGCCATGCTTCCTGGCTAGGAAACTGTAAGGCTTTGTAAGGACTATTCATTCTTAATTATCCCCGCCAAAACGAATTGATGATTGTTGACTCCGCCGACGCACTCTCATTTCCTCGGGGCAGATGCTCTAAATACCGCGCCACATAATGAAGTGCAGACACTTCTTTCGGGAGATGCCAGATGAACACCTTGAAAGTGGACTGGTCATCTTCAGCAGAAATCCAAGTGCGCAACAACTTCAAAGTACTCTTTGGGGGTTGAAGTACCACTGCTGCTGGTACTCCTTCCACTTGCAAGACATGGCTGCCCTGTATTGCTTTTTCTTGACGCTACCTCCGCGTACGGGTCCTTCCGCCCAAAAAACTGGGAAGCCTCCAAGCACATCCAAGCACTTCACATGGGGCATAGGCCTTAGGAATTCCGGGAAACCCTACAGCGTCAATCCCTAGATCCTAAACCCACGTAAGGTCTTAGGATTTGCTGATGAGTTTGATTCCGGTGCCTTTGTCGTGAGATGTCTTGAGGTTGTCTCGGCATACCAGTGCCTCTGCCTGGTTCTCTTCAACCAGCGACAGCAGGCGACCAGAATCTGCCGGATCGAGAGCTCACGGTCTTAAGGATACTTGAAGGCTGCGGCAAATTGGTTGTGAGACACCAGGTCTTCAAGTCTCCCATTGCAGGAAGCTTGCTGTTGACACGCTCACCGAAAGATGCCGTTTGTCGAACCAACCCCTTTCACTAGGTTTCACTAGTGACACGTGTGCGGTTCAGAGAAATCTCGGATGTCGATTCGGTTTGCTTCAGGTTAGGCTGTAACCCAGGCTGGTGTTGACAGGAACGTGATCTCCCAAGCTTGGTTTCACACGCCATGTCCTAACAAAACTAGCTAACTTGTCGGTTTCGGAGAGGATTTGGGTCCAGAGGTGTCTGTCTTCGTCCTGACAAGGTAAGCTTGCGGGAGATCTGTGAAGCGACGAAGCTTCCAGAGGAAGAGTGCAGACGGCAGGTCTGGGGCTTATGGCTTGTGGCTTGTGGGAGCTCGAGCACGAGCCATCTCGAACTCATGCAGAGGTCCGTGTTCCACTCGGCAGCGAAGCCAAACCCAAGTAATCCCAAGTATTATTTCAATTGAATACAACATCTTCGAGTGCGAGACGATGGGGGTGCTTCAACCTTTGGCAAGCCACCCAGGCAGGAGTTGGCCGGCAAGTCTTCAATCTCAAGCCTCTCAAGCCAACAAGACAATCCGACATCAGAACCCACGCGGAAAGACGCGGATACATGGCGGGGAGGGGGGGTCTGCTTTTATTATCGGTACGCATGATGTCGTGCAGGCATGCTTGCCATCAATGCACGTGCTGTACTGCCCAGAAGTGATCCAGCGTGGTGTCTCGTCCATTCCACCTCAGGTCACTTCCTTGACAGTGTCACGGCACAAGGTGCTCCTGCACGATGCGACAGGACAGGGCCCGGCAGTCGTGTTGAGCGTGTTGAGCCATGACGGGGGTTTAGTAAATGAGGCTCGGTATGTGCCCCGTGCATTTGCTGCCGTTGCACTTTGCACTCTGTTTGCTCTCGGAATCTTTCCAAGGCAAGGACCTTGGCAGCGAGACGAAGCTCCAGGCCCAGAGCATCAGAAAAGTTGGCAGAAGCCTGGGGCCCGCAAAATGCCGATTCGGCGATGCACCCATTCCTGTATCCCACTATCTCTGATAGCTGCGCTGCCTGCAACTCCGGGTACCACGGTAAATATTTGTCTAAGATGCTTGTTGATGCACTGTTATATACCGGGTCTCTGGACATGCGACTCCGATCTCTCACTACGATAATGATGTTAGGCGACAGTATCGTGATGCATCAGATGCAAGTTTGGGCGGGCTTGCTTTTTGAGAGTCAGCGGGAGCATGCTGCAACCGAGAATCAATGAATCAAGGCAGATGTCCAAGGCCCACTGCTCGGTGCGCCGAACGCCCCCACGAACAAAACAGGACTCCCCAACAACTTTCTACGGGCACTTTTGTGCATAACCAAACCCCAGACCCTTCCGACCCCTCCTCTCGCTAGTTGTTGGAGGGATTGATTCGAAAACTCAGTTGGGACAACGTGGACGTGTGCTCCGGTTCCTTCATTTTTGGCGAGGGAAGAAACTCCCCCCGTGTCTGTAGTGCCTGTCGTCCTGCAGAAAAGGAGATCGTGCAATGTGCATCCGGATAGGAGCAGCTGCACCTGCGTTATCCTGCGTTTTGAAGTTTTGGAGCAGGTGAACGACAAGTTCACAAACGAGAAGATCAAGGTGGCAGTGAGCCTCATCAAGAAAGAGGACTCCCAGTCGTCGGGTAATCGCTCCCTCCACAAGAATTGCACTGAACGTGGCAAGGAGAAAGCCGAAACGACAGCTTTGGCGGAGGCAGCTGGAGCGCAAGGGGGCAAAGCGCTCTCTGTACACGTGGAACTTCCAAATAAATGAAATCAGATATTCAGAGCGTTTCAAAAAACGTCTCACTGATGTTTCAATGGAACACAGCTTTGCAACTCCGCCTGTCTTCCCCCCCGAAATCGAGGCGCCAGTGGAGCGCAAGCACGTCATCGATGCGGCTATTGTTCGAATCATGAAGTCCAGGATCCTTCACTGCCTGTAAATTGCAAGCATTCAACCACTGTACTGACTACACTATACTGCTATTAGGAAGCAGAGCCAAGCTGATCGCAGGAACAAGCTGGAGCACAACTCCCTGTTGGACGAGGTCTTCAGGCAGTGCACGCTTTTCAAGCCGCAGCCGGCGCAGATCAAGAGCCAGATCGAGCACTTGATCGAGCGAGGCAGAGAGAGAGAGAGAGTGCGTGTGTACAGTATGTGCAAGACATTGCAACACTGTAAGGGCCCTGAGAAGTGTTGATGTGTTGAACCTAAGTACAGTTTCGGGGCTGGTGGCCGGCCTCCTCCTCCTCCTCCTCCTCCTCATTGGGCCTCCTTCCCGAAGCCCAGAGCCCTCCTCCCCCATTCTTTACAGCAAGTCCCAAGCCTCCTCCTCATCCTCCTCCTCCTCCTCCTCATCTAGGCCTCCTTCCCAAAGCCATTCCCCCCCTTTCTCTCCAGCAAGTTTGGCGCCTGGCCTCCTTCCCAAGCCTCGTCACAGTTGCTGTTGCTTCCCCCGGAACCTGGTGCCCGTTTGCTAGCATAAGGTGCCAGCCGAGGAGGCGCAGTTAGGCCCATTTGGTTTTTGTTTCATCTGCCTCCCCATGGGCAGCTGCCTTCAATATGTCCAAGTGTGCCTGTCTAGCGGTTGCAGCCCATAGCCGTCCCAAGCACCAACACAAACGCTATCGAACAGGAAGTGTGCATTTCAATAAGTTGTGCAAAGTCCAACGGCCGAGAGCCTCGCAACGGGGACACTACGCTTGGTGTCGAGAGTAAGTGCAAGGTTCAAGAAATCAGATGCTTTGAGCCTTAAACAGGCTCAGACGGGCCAGAACTGAGCAAACGGGGATTCTGGGAAAGCCAAAGAAACAGCAAAGATTGCAATCAGCACACGAGGGCCCGCTGATTGCCCGTGCAACACCCTCATAGCATCCGTTGGACACCATTGGGGATCCTTGCAATCAGAAGCGTGCGTGGGGTTAGGGCTCTCTGAGACACTCTCGCTGTCAGAATTCTTGAAGCGAGACGACGCCAACCGCAGCATCTACCTCTACCTGCGCGGGTCTCAAAACGGCATATGGCTGCCAAGAGCCTATAGGGCTTAAAAGCATCTCTCTGCCTGCGCCATGCTTCAAGGCCGTGAGCAGCAAAGCCCCCGCTGCGAGGAGTGACAGAGATGAGTCTCGATTGGCCTTGATTAGCCTTGACAGAGGTGACGTTGAGGTCGGGAAGGGCGACCAACAGCGGAGCCCGGGCTGCCTGGGCAAGAAAACGTGCCACAGAGTGCCTCCTCCCGAGTACGTTTCCGTCTGTGCCTTTCCGTCTGTGCCTTTCTTGGTGCCTTCTGGTGCCAATCGGCGCAAGAATCGCAAGGTGCCATGCAGCATTAAGGCCCGAGGGGGGCCCGGCCACCTGCCGCCTTGGTAGCACCTGCACGCGGGCCATTGAGCATTGGACAGAAATGGTGTCTGGATGTGTCTGGCCATGTCTGGCCATCCATGCTGCGGTTCCTTTGGGAAAGAACTGAACGAGAGCGTTGCTTCAAGCAGGTTGTTGATGTTAGCAGAGTCGTTGCTTGCATGCGTATCGAGGGTGTTGAGTACAGCCATTTTGCGGTTCAATTTCTGCCGGGCACACCTCACAGCGCGCTTCTCGCCTGAATCCCAGAACAGACAATATCACATTGTGACCACGAAGCCTTGTGTGGTGCAGTGCTACAGTGTGCACGACAAGGTCACAAGCTTGCAAGCACGGTGCCAAGAATCGTCTCGAGTGCCATCCTTTGTTGACACGGTTTGCAACGCGAGGACAACACCGGAAGATGACGGCGCTCATTGATGCCAAGACTGCAGGACGCGACTTGTTTTGAGGGATATTTCAAGGATGCAACCGGGTGCTAGCAACTGTTCTGGATGCCAGGACTGATGCAGTACATGCCGCTGGGATGCACAAGTCAGCCGCCACAGGAGGGTTGAGAGAAGAAGCACCCCCCGCTCCTGACTAGTGAGGCCCTGCAGGATCTGGTTTTCTAATGTCACCAACCAACGTGGGATAGCTACTGAAGAGTGACAGCTCAAACAGAAAGCACCCTGACAAACACGGCCATGATTCTCCATGGCGGGGGGACAGTCCCGTGAAGTTTCCTGCAGAAAGCTGGAGCGGTAGGCTTGGTAGAGAGGCTTCAATGAGCCTTTCAAGTGTAAGTGATTGCCCTGTGTTTGGGTCTTTCTTGCCAAACCTGAATAAGGACACGGATACTGTGTCTCTTACTGTAAAACAAGCTAGATCTCACAATCGCTATGCGCATATGGATGTGGAAAGTTGCAGAATCCTCAAGAGGCAGAACTGCAAACACGAACAGATCGAACCGTGGAGGTCCACTCCCTTCCCTATCTGGCTCACCCTTGGATCGCACGTCTTCCTGTGACCTGTTGTGCTGGTTCTGCCTGATTCTGCCTGGGGGCTTCGATTGCTGAGCTCAGCACGAGACATGTGTCTTGAAGTGGCTTGCCGGCCCCGCTTGCCACGGCCCTGATTCGAGACCCCCTCAGTGATGCACTGCCCGACTGACGCAGAAGCACCCCCAAGCGCAGCAAGAGCAGTGCGGGCCCTTGGAACTCGTCTCTGAGACCCTCTGAGAGGAGCTCCATACGGTGAAAAGGTGACGGTTGCTACAAGCCTTTGGAATCTGAACACCTCATAATCATAATGTCATAGCACCATATAACACCTCTACATTTGAAGCCAAAGAGGGCTTCAGGGAGAACTTCAGAACGTCAGGAAGCGCAAATCGGCTTTGGTGGCGAGCGCTTCGACCTTCGATTGCCTCGGCCTCGATGCAGGCGCCTTTCAGGCACGCCACCCTCCGAACCCTTTACCAGGGCCCTTTCCCCGAACTCCTCAACAATCTACATCTTCTCGTGCGAAGCTAGGCGTTGTGCACACATGCAGCCGCGCAGGCTCCCAGCAAGCAGACCCTGGCGCAGCGTCGACTGCAGCTGATGAGCAAAACGTTGAAGGCGATTGGGTGACGCATGTCATGCTTAAGAGGTGACTGTCAGATTGCACGACTGCTGTACTACTGCTGTACGGATGTTGAAGTTGCCGTATGGGTGGCATGCTGTAGAAAAATAGATCCAAAGTTGCAATTGGATGACTCAACTGCTCTGAGACTTTTTGGAAGGCGAAAGAGACGGACCGTCGTCCACTTTGTGCAGGGCTCTTCCGGCTCTTCCTTCTGTTGCAACATGTGATCTGGCATGGTGCAGGACTCGCCTCCGGCCAGCCAGGCCATGGCGCTGGAATACTCAGCAAGAACTCAGCTACTTCGAGAAGTCGAAGATGCCTTTCCTGCCACAGGTCCTTTTCGACGCCTTGGCTCTCGACGGAGGGAACTTACGGGCTCAGAAGGAGACCCCAGCTCGGGATTGCCAGGACCCAACACACACAGCATCTGGACTGCTTCCTGCTTCCCAGCAGGACGTGGACTCCTTGCAAAAGCTGCCGTTCAAGCTGCCCGCATCACACAAGAGATCCACCACCAACAAGGCCAGTATACTGAGACTTCTCCTGGCATCGCGCTTGCATGTCCCAGGAGTTTAACACCCTCGGACCATGACTGCTGAGATGACGTGAGTGCTCAACATTGGCTCCCCCCCTGAGAAAAAAGGTCGGATCCGCTTCGTTGTCCACCGGCTCGACGAGTGAGGCTACAGCACGGAGAGAGAGCGAGAGAGCGAGAGAGCGAGAGAGCGAGAGAGCGAGAGAGCGAGAGAGCGAGAGAGCGAGAGAGAGGGGGAAGCAACAGAGGGATGGTGAGGATATACAGATCTCTCTGAGAGGGTTTCTTAGGCAGGGTTCTGGCTCTTTCCTTGCCGCTTCGCCAGGGGTCGAACGAGTTGTGAGACTGAGACTTTGGCCTACATCCGCTTTCGCAAATTGTGGAAAGCGGTGTTCCTCGCAATGAACTGCTTTTGTCCATCACTGAGTGGATAATTTCCAGCACACTTGTGCTGCATGTTTTGCAGGCTTGCCCCGTTCTTTTGTGCTTTGATTGGCCTTGCAGCTACGTTTGGCGAGCTGGCGGGCAGCCTAAGATGTTTCGCAACTGACAACATCAGCACCAGCGGAACATGAGCAGAAGGCGAAAGGTCTGAGCTCACTAAGCCTGTTCCGGGTACAGCGCATTGATGCTAAAGCGAGCTTCGCACCTGTGGTGCCCATTTTCAACTGGTCTGACCTGCCCAGGACACAAGGACTGTAGTGTCGGGTGTGGTGTTACATTATTTGGAGTCCTGGGGATTGGCAATTCTACTCATTCCAGCCTGGAAGAAGAGGACTAGTTGCTTGCTGTTTGTCACCCACCCCCAGCATGTCTCCGCCTGCATGCCCTGTGCCTAATTGGGCCACAAGCCTTCCGGGGTCCGGAGTCGTACGCAAAGACCCAAGTAGGGTTCGCATAAAGAACAGGCATGTTATGCATCGTAAGAGACATCGTGCCTGGTTGGCAGAAGACTTGTGGAGAGAAAGGCGCCTGACCATTGTGCAGACGATGTGCAGACGATGCAGCAGTGCGTGAGCTGTTCTCGAGCTCTGCGCCAATGCCCACGTGAGCAGAATTCAATACGCGGAGGCTGCTGGCATGTTTTCCAGTTCAGGGTGACTTTTCCACGTGTGTGAATGCACACCGCGTGAACAGATTAGCACGAACCTCGTGCATCGCGCCAAGCCCTTTCAGTGCCATCACAGCATATGCCGGATGCTCGCACTTGGCTTTGGGTCTTGCAAACCCACGTCATGTGTCATAGATGCCCGTCAAAAGGGACGCCAGGGCCGCCAGGGGCAGGCAGGCAGCGCTGCCAGCAATGTGGAAGGATTCAGGTGTAAAGCTTGTGGGTTTTGGGGATCCAGTCGTGAGGTTTTTTATGTACGCTGTTGCCTTGACGTCGCCGGCACTGAGCAGGTGATGCCAGTGCCAGGTATAGCCGCGCAGATGTGTGGCCCTAAGCCTCAGGGGATGAATGCTAGGCCTACTGTTCGACAGCGCCTTTACATGAGCAAAGCAAGAGCAAGGCTCTGCGGCAACAACTGCTAAAACTTGCTGCAGGTACGAACAAGCAGAGCGACACCCCAAGCTCTGGGCAAGACATGGCAACAAAACAAACACGTCACCCCCTGACACGCACCCATCACCGTGTTTAAACAGCTTAGACGGGAGCTCATGCCGTCTTCGGGTACCGACCCGGACAGAAGCGAAGTTGCAACAGCGCCAGACGGAGGGCGAGGCGAGGTGCGCCTGGGGTTTTGCTATGGGAGCTCTGGTTGAAAGACCTTGACGGTTTAGGGGCTTTGGCCGAGTGGCACAGTGACGAAGACCCTATTCATGAGTGGAAGTGAGTTACTAAGTAAGCCAGAGGCGGTACGTTGTAAGAAGTAGCTTGCTTATTGGATGAACCCCACGCCCCCTGCATCCTGTGAGGATTGGGTGATCTTTTGAATTGTGCCCATTGTTGGGGGGTTGGGGGTGTCGCGTCTTTGCTCGATTGCTCGTGCGATCGTGCGGGTGTTCGTGTGTTCACGTGCCTGCCCTGCATACACTTACACATATTCCGCACATCTGATTTGTAAACGCTTGCTCGCGCGGCCTCGACATGCCTCGACAGCCGGGCTGGCCCAACGCGGGGCGTAGACATGCAAGGACCTTCGTCAGACACAGAAAATCTTTTTCCAGCTCCCTGGGCGTGGTAGTTAATCCTTCCCCATGTGCTTTCTTCTGGTCGGTTGTTAGCTGAAGGATATACTTTTCCAGCTTGCTGGGTGTGGAAATCCTTCCCCATATGCCTTCTTCTGGTTGGTTGTGAGTTTGGGGTGCAGGAAAAGGAGCATCATGAGCATCAGCGGCCTCCCCCAGGCCACCCAAAATGAGCGTGTTCAGGGTGCTTTTTACGCGGAACCAAAGAACACTCGATAATCGCGAGTTTTTCCAGGTTTGCTCCTCTTGGGAACCACCCTAAAACAAGCATCAGCTGAGTCTTTGGGCCCGAAGGCCCACGAAACCACCGGAGAAGCAATAGCTCGCTGATGCCCGCGCCCCCCCCCCCCCCCAACAAGGGTGGGGGTCGGAAGCGCGCGCGAGAAACCTCT